CCTCCCGACCGATTTAAACCTCATCTCTCTTGATCTTTTGGATTTTTCAGTGACAATAAAACTTAAAAATAATATCAAATCGAAGCTGGTGGATGGTGGAGTTGCAGTAAGAACCCTATCTCCCGTGACAGGATTGTTGTTGTTGGTTCCCACCAATTCAATCCTATCACTCAGCCAAACCGATTCAATCAATGATTTTTGAGAGATCTCCGTCTCGCTCGCCGTCGATTACCATTGATTCTCAGTCAAGGGTACCCCATGTCTTCCGGGACGAGAAACCCTCGAAGCCCTCTAGTAGCCACGCTGGTGGCATCCATACACGTTGATCTAAATCATTTTGCCACCCCTATCACAAAGTACAAATATAATTAGATCGGATAGGGGAGATCCAAATTTGGTCTTTTTTTAAATATATCCTATTTTTTATCCGTACATTTTGATTCCTAAATCTCGAATAAGAATCGAATCATGATCCCGTACATTTTGATTCCTAAATCTAAACTAATAGAACTATGTATTGACTCAGAGGAGGCCTAAGTCGTGGTGGGTTCAATCATTATGGTCGATTCGATGGTGAAATATAACTCGGTTCGATCACAATGGGTTGCAACTTGAAAAACAGAAAAAAAAAACACTATTCTAAAATAAGAAAGGGCAAAAAAACTTAAACCTCCCTTGATCTTTCACCTAAATACTAAAACCTCCCCTATCTTTTCAAAGTGGACTTAGGCCTACCTTTTTGGATAATTTATGATAGAAAGACCTCCCCTACTCTAGCAATCTGTTTATATTTGACGTTATGTTCGTATGAAAATTTTCAGAAACCCAGTTTTGCCCCCTTTTTGCATGTGATCTTTTCTTTTTCTTTTTTTTCTTTTTTTTACTAGGCAATTCAACCAAATCTAACTTATTAGTGCAGGAAATAGAAGTGAATACCCAGAAATTCCAGGTTATAACCTAGGAATGATTATAGGTTCAAGTCCCAGGTTTTAGATAACGTACATGTATCCTGGTTTAGCAGTTGTAAAGAAGAAAGAAAATAAGGAGACAAAGGAAGAAAAATGAGGGAACCAAGGCCTGTTCAATCAAGTCAAGTTTCATGCTCAGCGGTGGTAATAGAGGGAGAGAGGGAAAGAGACAGAATGAAAAGAAAGGTATAAAAGGGATCAGAGAAAGAGGAATAAAAATAAAGGGGGAGCGTTGGTTGATCTGTTCAAAACAGAGGAGTTGTAAAAAAGTTTAAATCTTAAACAACTTTCTAGCTTAATTACAGGGAAAAATATAAATTATCAAGGGAATTTTTCTTTTGACTTTTCAATTTCTTTTTTCTTCAAAACCTGTTAAATACTTCTTTTCTTGTAGCGGGCTTTTAATTATTGGATCGTTTTCTCTATGTATCTCTATTTCTTTGCTTTTATATTAGTTGTTTCTTTTCTGATTTTTCTAGATGACGAAAACGAAATCATGGATAGGCATCTGCAGTAGAAAAAAGAAGGTCCCAATAAATCAGGGGAATCCGATAACGAAGTTAGGCTTAGTTTGGAAGGAGTACGAATTTAAATATATAGAGTGGGAAACCTTGTATTTTGTATGTATTTACACTGTATATATTTGTATTTGTACTCCTTTCAAACTGAGCCTTAAAAACATTACAAATCTTGTTTGCAATTGAGATATAGTTTGGTTCGGTTTATAAAATTTAATAAACCAAACCGAAACCATAAACTGTAATTTAAAAAATTCTCAAACCAAACCAAACCGTTTATAGTTATAAACCAAATTAAACCACAATTTCGATTTGGTTTGGTTCGATTTTGTGGATTGAACCGTATAATGGACACCCTTACCTTTGGTTATTAAAGAATTATCAATGGCAAAAAAGACTTTTGATTGATTCCCTCTAATAGGGGAGGTCTTAGTGCATTTCAAAAAAAGAGGGGAGGTTACAGTATTTATGAGAAACATGAAGGGAGGTTTAAGTTTTTACCCAATAAATAAAAATCTAAAAAAAATTAGGGAAAGGGGAAAGGCAGTTTAAGCATCCAACAAGAAGGTTTGTGTAATGGGGCTACCTAGGCCATATTATAAGACGCTCTTTGTCGAGAGTGTAGACTGAGGATCTGGGCTTTCTGATAGTTATGGGCAGACTAACAATGGGCCGTAACATGGACCACAAAGACCCTGTTGGACAAAAGTCAGCAATCAACAAGTTAGAGTCAACAGATACATAAAAAAAAACATCAGATGAGGTTGGTTTGACCACCTCCCATTCCGCTCGTCCTTCCAATCCATCAATCTCTCTTAACTCTCGACTCTCAACTCTGAACCAGCCAGGCAATGCATCACCCCATTTTTTTTCTTTCTCTTCTGTCCCACAACATTGTTATTTTCCTTTTTTTTTTTTCTCATTTCTCGCCGTCCACTCCAGCCATGGATGAAGGACCTGCAGTGAAAATCTTCAACGCAACGGAGATACACATCTTTGGTGATAATTTGTTTGTATGCCAGATTCCGAATAAGGTATTCTCCACGAGCAGCATCTGGTTCGGAGATAACCCATTGACCTACTCTGCACCTCTTATTATGTTCCAAGTCTCTATTGCAAGTATAACCCTCCGAACCACCGCCTTCTTACTCAAGCCTCTTGGACAACCTACGATCGTCTCTCATATCATTGTAAGCACTTCTTGTTCATCGCCCACCCACTACTACTGCCTCCTCCTCCTCTTCAGTATTTTTTTTTTTTCATTGCTCAGGACATTTGATTTGATTACTTCTTTCTTATTGGACTTTATTTAATGAATAAGAGCAAATTAAGGAAAACAAAAGTTGAGAAAATTCAATAATAAAAAAAAAAAAAACTGATCAAGCTCTCATTCCAACTTCGATCGTATGTTTTTCTTGCTAAACCAAATACCAATCAACAAGGATTGCCTTGCCATTGCATATACAGAAACAACAAGGAAAATAAAGAATTGTATTGGTAATACATTGATTCAGTTGTTTCTGAGTGTTAATGTTGTTTCTTTCATGCTAACAGGGTGGTATAATACTAGGTCCCTCAATTCTAGGGCGCAGCGAGATCGTTAAGAAAAATTTGTTCCCTCCAACAGGCATAATGGTACTGGATACGGTGGGATGGTTTGGCCTCATGTTCTTTATGTTCTTGGCAGGAGTAAAGATGGATCCATCGATGATAAGACACACAGGACGAAAGGCCATGACCCTAGGCTTGTCGGTGTTCTTTCTTCCATTGGTCGTAGCCATATCCATGGCCTTCATCCTAGGAAGATATGTCCCCATGGAGACAGGTCTGAAAAATTCGCTTCCTTATGTAGCTGCATCCCAGTCTATAACGGCTTTTCCTGTTATCTCTGGCCTCCTGGCTGAGCTCAAGATCCTCAACACCGATATTGGCCGGCTTGCCATGTATTCATCTCTTTATGGGGACCTAATTGGTATCTGCGCAACAGCGGTGTCTTTCGTAATTCAGAAACAACACGGTGATCAAGTACTGCCAGCAATATGGGAGACGTTAACATCCATAACAATGGTGGTGTTCATCATCTTCATCGTCAGACCGGCAATGTTGTGGGTTATCAAACAGACACCCGAAGGGAAATCTGTGCAAGAGCTTCATATCTTCGCCATCTTTGTTGCAGTTCTCGTGGCCGGACTTGTCAGTGAGATCATAGGCCAACATATGGTGTTAGGCCCATTGGTTCTGGGGTTGGCTGTGCCAGATGGTCCGCCCTTGGGAGCAGCCTTGGTAGAGAGGCTGGATACCGTTATGTCGGAATTTCTCTTACCCATCTTCTTCGTCGTCAGTGGTTTGAAAACCAACTTGTCGTCCGTACAACCAAAGGCCTCGTGGGTTCTGGCGCTTGTTGTCATCTCATCGAGTCTGGTCAAGATTGCTGCAGTGATGTTGCCTTCCCTTTTCTGCAAGATTCCAAAGCAACATGCTTTGATTCTCGGAATTATTTTCAATGCCAAAGGCATAATTGAGATCACCATCTACAATCTATGGAAGGACGGAAAGGTAAAGCTCCCTCCACCTCCCTAACCTTGATCCAAGGTCTCTGGGTTTGTTAATAATGGATGATCGATCACCTTAATGATATCCTCTGTTATATTCGCTATTGGAGTCAAATTGTAGGAGGGAGCTTCACTATACGCCCGTGAGGCCTGGATCCTGGTTAATTGTTGGTTAAAAACAAAAAACTCATCTGAACGAACTCCATATGATAGAGATATGATGCTTTTCTTTTCTTTTTTCCTTCATCTTCCATTTACTAAGACCACTTAGTTATGCCAATTACCAACAGATATTGAACGAGCAAGTATTCACCCTTGCAATAATCTCAGTGGTCATTGTAATGGGCATTGTCACACCACTTCTGAAAACCCTTTACGATCCTTCACAGAAATACAGACCCACCAATAGAAGAACCATCCAACAAAACAACTGCGATGGTGAGCTCCGGATACTTGTGTGCGTGAACGGCCAAGACAGCGTACCCACCATCATCAATCTCCTTGAGTTCTCACATGCCACCCAACAGAGCCCTATATCTCTCTTAGTGCTAAACTTGGTTGAGCTTGTTGGTCGCGCATGCCCCATCCTCGAACCCCACGAGGAGGCACATGCCATCCAATCTCACATTTCCAGTAAATCCGACCAAATCGTGAATGCATTTAAGCAATACGAATTGCACAGTCAGGGCAATGTGATGGTCCATCCATTCACTGTCATCTCCCATTTTTTCACCATGGATGAAGACGTGTGCCGAGTTGCATTCGACAATGAAGTGATCATCATGATCCTCCCATTTCACAAGCGATGGACGGTTGCTGGCTCAGTATGGACACCCAATACTGGGCTCAAAACCATGAACCGAAAAGTCTTGGATAAGGCACCTTGCTCTGTCGGAATTCTTGTTGATCGTCGAATACTTGGAGGGCTTACGGCGGCGGAGCTTCTACTGGATCCAGTGTTGTCTTATCGGGTGGCTATACTCTTCATGGGTGGATCTGATGATGGAGAAGCATTGGCCTACAGTGCACGAATGGCCCGATGTCGAACTGTCATCTTGACTGTAATTAACTTCCTTCCAGCGAAAAGAAACAACAATCACGACAACATTAATGAGGCAGATAAGAACAAAAGCGTGCTGGAGGATTTTATGCTCAACAGTGCAGGGAATGACCGGATTGAATATAGAGAAGAGGTGGTTAGAGACGGAGAAGAGTTGGTTACCGTCATCCGAGGAATGGTGCACCATGGCTATGACCTTGTCATCGTTGGGAGACACCAACACAAAGACTCCACACTCCTATCAGGCCTCAAAGAGTGGAGCGAATGCCCAGAGCTTGGTGTCATCGGAGATATGCTTGCTTCACAGGATTTGGAAGCGACCTTTTCAGTTTTGGTCATTCAGCAGCATCGATTAAGAGTAGTTAAGAGAGGCTTCAAGTTGATTAATAGGAGTATGGCTAATCGGCCCACTACTACTGTCCAAAAAGATAATAATAATAATAATAATGTGGTGCAAACAGATAATAATGTGGCTCAAGATGTACAACCCGAGCTGAATCAGGTGTAGGGAATTAAGGGAAAGAAAAACAGTTCTAAATTAGATTAGTTACTGCTGCACCAACCAACTAAAAGATTAGATTTAGACTGGTGTATTTCACATGTAAATTGAAGGATAGACCCATCTCCATTGTTAATTCTATTAATGTTGTTGAATTCACTAACATCGATCCTTTTTTTTTCGTATTTCATGCAACTGAAAGCAATAGCTGATGATCAAGAAGCAGTTTGGACATTTTGCTTCCAACAGGTTTCTAACGTACATCACCAATATTCTGTGCGTACCACCTTTCCTCAACCGTCAACATGGGCAATTGGGCATGCATCCACAACCTAGCAACCACTGCACTTCATGTTTTTCTTATGCCCACAGAGTTCCCATTCTCCTCTCTAACAAACATCCATTGTCGACGGACCATTTTGCTCATTGCAACCCTCTCTCTCTCTCTCTCTCTCTCTCTCTCTCTCTGAAGTAAAAGGAGAGAGGATTTTAAGTAAAGCGTTGTTAGGTGGAAGAGAAAAACAGAAAGTTGGAGGAGTTTCGAGATTTGTAAATGTTAAAACATGGGTGGACTCTAGTAATTGGTCATGTTATGTGGTAAAGAAAACAGATAAAAGATAAAAGGGAAATATAAGAGAGAGAGAGAGAAACGTGTGAATTGGATTTTATAAATTAAAAAAAATACATAAAAAATCCACGTCATCATCTTCCTGCCAAATAAAATAAATAAATAATATATAAGAATACAAATGGTGTGGTTCAAACCTCAAACTTAGCAGATTCAACCACGCCATGCACAATGGGACGGCATTAATGTTAATGATAGGAGTGAGTATTGGGACACCATCGTACAAATTAAAATCCAGTCACTTTGCACCACCTGGCGTGAGTTGGCCGTAGTTAGCATGAGCCCAAGCCCAGTCACACGGTCCAAACTCTTGGATATACACAGATCATATATTGTACGTTGTTAGATCAATGATTAGTTGATTGTAGCTTTTATCTGTGTGTTTGGGCCGCAACATGACATTGCCATTACAAACATTATTGTTTTCCCAACCCAAGCTCATGAAAGCTATTGTCGTAACAAAGACACACCATCACAAATACTTTTTCAATGATTTTTTTTTTTTTCACAACAGTTAGCACCCCGTGAATCGTGATACGGTAGGCCCTCTAACAACAAATAATTATGGCCAAACATATTTTATTAGTTAATAAATAACCCTAACTATCTTTTATAAATTAAGGATTGTTTTACTAAATTTGTTCCAACATAGCACCTCCATTTTACATCGTACGATGGAATCTAATTAATTTTCCTTATTTTGTAGAAACAAAGTTAAAGCGTTTGACCAATACAAATTGATATAAATATGTGCGGTAACATCACATATAAGAGTCGCTTCATCTGTAAAATTGTATGTGCAGTGTGACTAATCCTTTTCTTTTTTTTTTTCGTTTATTTGAAGCACTTTGGGATAAATCATTGATGTTGAAATAATAATTATTAGTTAATGGCGTTTTTAACTAATGGCCAAACTTTCACAACTGTGTATACTGAAGAATTTGAAGTCTCCCAATTAATTAATTGTATTAAAGAGAGACACACCAGAGAAGAAAGCACTATTAATTCTGGGTAGATAGGTGCGGGCATGTAAATGAAAAACTCAGAATTGAGAGTAAGGCTCTGGGAGGAGCTGTGGTGTCTTCAAATCATAAATTAAACAGGGAAAGAAAGAAAAAAAGATCGATTCCATTCCAACCCGTGAACTGGACATGGCGAGCCTTTCTTGTTCTTTAACTACTGTTGGCACAGGGCTCCATGTTTATATATTCATGGGGATCTGTCAAATTTCAAATCTGGGAAGAAGAAATCATTTTTTATATGAGTAACATACATACATACATAAAAGGGAAGCCCATGATGTATTAAACAGTGAAGGCTTGTGGCCTAACCCATTTTTCAATATAAATTACTTAAATAAACTCCATGTGAGCATGATAGCTCCACATTATTTTATTTGTTTAAGAGGAATTGCCAGCTTTCAAGCATTTTTTTCTGTCCTAACATGAAGAAGGGAGGCTGTTCCGAGGTCTCTGACTTTCTCTATTGTATTGTATCTATTTTTTATACATTTACTAATGTTAAGAGATTAAGAAAAATAACTGGGATGATTGAAGATTTTATCCTCAACAATAACAATCTCTCTCTCTCTCTCTCATAATTTCTCTTTCTAATGCGAGGAGCATTTGCCATTTGGGTTAACAATTTTCAAATATTAAAAGATAATTCCATCCCACGACCCATCTTGGTCCAATAGCCTGCTTAATTGTGAATTACGCATATTTTTTGTAGTTCCCATCATAAAGTAATTACTTTTCCGCGTAAGATGCGACTGATGTTGTATCAATCAATGTGCAACCTCAAGGGGGGCAGATCAGTGGCCCAAACATCACATCTATCAGCGATCATATGGCCCACCAATCAATAGGTGATGAGGCAATGAATAGTGTTCTTGATGTGTATGCCACGCCCACGTTCACAGCAGTGATGAGTAATGACTATTAAAGAACATCTGCAAATCCAACCAATAAGCTTCTCCCAAATTAATCCCTGCCCTATCAACGTTATATACTGAGCTTGATTTCGGTTTACCTTTTATTCTTTCCTTTTATATTTATATATATATATATATATATATATATATATATTTTTTTTTTTTTTTGTGTTAGGACTTACGAATTTGGGGCACAAACCTCGTCATCGTCAGTTCGCTTGAGGTATTAATAAAATTAAAAAATTGGAAATCAGTTGCTTATTTTTTCTGAAAAGAAAACCCTTTTCTTCTTTACAATTTGAGGTTACCAAATACCAAGTACAACTTCCTTGATTGATTACACAATTTCTTCTCTCTTTTCCCTTCTCCCACTTTTTGAACAAAAATGATTTATCGATCGTCGGAACACCCAAGCTGATCACCGAAAAATGGAAGAGGTTTCCAAATCTGCAACTCTTACACGCAGCCGAAAAATTATATAAAAAAGAAAAAGAAAGTACATAATGTGTTATCCACAAACGGCAAACCAATGAGCTCGCTCGCATTAGTCATCGGATGATCGAGTAGCCCCCGAAGAACGTTTTTCTTCTTTCCTTTTTAATGTAAGAAGAAAATGGAAAATATTACAAGTCTTCGGAGATGCTTGCGAGATGAGGCCGCCAGACTCCGACTCGACCGCTACGGCGGTCCCGACGTGAAGACTTCTTCTCGGATAGAATTTCAGTTAGATAACGATCGCAATCTGTGGCTACCGTGGTGATGAGGGAGGTGGCCTTCTTGCTCTTCTTGGAGGACTTCTTGAGGCTGTGGCCATTGCCGTTCAGGTTGCAGCTCTTCTTCTTCTTCTCTGGGATGGACGATTCAGGAATTAAGAAATAGATGCTACCCCTTTTGAGGTCGGACTCCGGAGAGAGAATTAGAATCCGACGAACTACACCCTGGGAGGAGGGCTTGCTGAGTACGTGGTTAGGATTGGCCTTCAAAACCTCTCCGGCGGAGATGGGATGAGTGATTTCTTCGACGTGGCCGTTCAAATGTACGATACGGATCACATCTAGAGCTCCACAAGGAAGAACACAGGCCAAGCAACACCTAAGGCTGTTACCCATCTCTGATCTCTCCCGCTTCCTCTTCTTCTTCTTCTTCTTCTTCTTCTTCTTCTTCTTCTTCTCTCTCTCTCCTCCCTGCTCTTCTTCTCTCCTTCCTGGTACGTTCAAGGTGGACGATGTTATTATATAGGAACAACCTTACTCTCACGAACATTTAATAATTAAGGCTTGATGATTTGAAATGACGAGAATGTCCTCGTCCATTACAAGCTTGATTTAACAAACACGAAGTTGACCTAAGTCGCCCTGCAAATGATTGCAATAATACCCCCCAACTAAAGGACAACTTCGTCATTTACACGAGGTTACTACCGTTAATGTCTCTATTTTATATAGCTTCAGGCTGCAGCTGCGTACCTAGTAGGTGATCTTATTGCTTCAACAACGTAGAAGTTAAAACGGTTAAAAAAGGGATGAAGGGGACAAAATGGAGATTTTGCCACGTGGAATGCTGATACTATCATGCTATAGTAGTGACAATTGGCAAATCTCGGTAAATTTTAATCAATCCCGGGGATGGAGTATTTCGAGCCGTGTGTTCTGGGTTCTAACTTCTAAGATCGCAACGCATCCCAATGGCTCAAGACGCCTAAAAGGGTGTGATGGTAGATATGGATCTGGTGCTTAAAACTTTAGCTCGGGATTTGTTCCGTCTCCGCTTGATTAGAATCTTTTCTACTTGTGAACCTTTAATAAATAAATAAGCAAACTTTTTTTCTCTCATCAGTCATCAGATGAAAGGCACAGTTTGGAGCAGGGAAGTCAGAGCAGAGTACAATGGTAGACGATCATGTACTTGACCAGTACCAACGCACCAAGGAAAAGAAAACGAGAGAGAGAGAGAAAGAAAGGGAGGACCCTACCGTCACTTCCGAGAGTTAAATCAACGACTGACCCTAATTTGACCTATCCTCAGACACAGTACCAATCACTATGCGAACTGGGGAAGTGAAGGTGTTTACGGTTATTTTGATAGAATAGTTAAACTTAAACATGGCTTAAGTCCTAATCCAAAGCGGGGTTAGTCTTTTCTTTCTTTTTCTTTGATTTGTCGTTTAGAGTGGAGCCCAGCCCACTGCAGTCTGCAGATACCTCCAACGCGTCACCGATAAGATAGGACATCGCGGCGCCGATGGGTTGAATCATGTTCATGAGAAAATAATAATTGAATATAAATAAAATAATAATTTTTCTAAAAAAAATGGAGATTGGACTTTGGAGGAGGAAAGCTGGACGGAGGATAAGCGATGAGCAGGTACGGAATATTAATTCAAATTCATTTATTTTAAAAGCTTAAAAAATTGGAATACCTCCGACTCCAACACTGTCCAGCTGTTCTAACACGAGGTGTATGGATGGTCTCGTGGCTCCTGTCTCTGTCCGTCAGTCGCTAATTTACACTTATGCCCCTCACAGCACAGGCTCTCATCTGCCATTCTGCCGGGTTAAATTATGGAATTAGACCTAACGGGTGGAAATGTCATGTAGGTTGTTCTTCAATTTATATTTGACCCTCTTTCCTGATCGGAGGAATGCGTGCGTCCGACCGGCCGGCCTTCTAACGCTAATTTAAGAATTCAGAATGTGGTCGGAACCGGATCCGGTGAGAGCACGGACGGAACGAGCGAAATAAAGTGGAGCCGTGGAGATGGGAGATGTAGTAATAGGGTAGTAAGGTAATTATGGAGGAAGGTGAGCAGGGTGTCATATGGGAATCTGGCAGATAAAACGTTTCCGGCGCACGTTAGGGTAGGAAACTTCGTCGCACGAGGGGGTGTGGGGGCACCGACCACAGCGATACAATATTTTAATGGAGGTCTGGAGGGTACACACGAGCAAGCAGCGAACGCTGAAACTGAAAGGAAGGCAACATTAGAAACTTAATTAATAGATTGATTGGTTGATTCCAATATAAGGGGCGATGAAGGTGACGAGTTTTTTGAAGAAAAATGAAAGAAAGAATCGTTGAAGAGACCGACTGGGTTTGAGTTCACACTAAAAGCCAAAGCCAAAGCCAAGGTGGAACCCCTATTAATCTATTCACACAAACACACCTAGAGATTAGAGTAGAGTAGAGTTTTCGGTATTGTTTCCTATTATCCTAATCCTATGGTGGTTGGGTTGGTAGTCCTCCGGAGTCCGGACCTGGTATACTTGCTCCATCAACCCTATAAGCCCAGACCCAAGTTTCTTAATTTTGATTAACGTACCCATTTGTTAATTGCATGATGTAAGTGATGTAGGGATCCATCGGCTCAGAGGACAAGGACAGCGAGCATCGTCGTGGACTGGCACTGAACCACATACAACACTTGTCCTCTGTTGGGACCTGGGTTTGTATTTGGACAGGACAGGACGTTATGAATTTGGTGAGGATCGAGAGAGAGAGATGATATTTTCATTTTGCATCTCCATCTTTTAATTTATATAAATCTAAGCACAGTGCCAACACTATTCCCTGCGTTACGAAGGAGATGTCACATTGTTACGTTCATAAAAGAAAGTAGAATGGTTGAGTTTTTTAAGCCATTCTTTGTCTGTTACTCTCTCTCTCATAAGATTCATGAAACTTGGAACATGCAATAGTAACCATGGAATTAATTATATTAAAGTTTACACTTTACGAGGACAACCTTCGTCTTGTTTGTTACACACCTGGCCATACCTTTCTTTGGTATTTTGTATTTTGTGCAGCTTAGTTAAGAGAAGGAAACAGATCATATTCCTTCTACACATGTCATCTGCTAGCTTCTTATACAGACCCATGAGACGAATTTAACTATATATATATATATATCCACATTTATGGTCTGAGTGGTGGTGGACAATGCACCTATTGATGGGTCGGGCTGGGTTCCGGCCAGACTTTGCCTAAAATTATCAGGCTTGAGTCCGAGCTGATTTTGACATGTATTTTATAATATGTTCATTAATTATATACTACTTTATACATTTAATATATATAATATTTTTTTGTTATTAATTTTATTTTTATATAATATAGATTATATTTTAAGACATATATTATATTTCTATTATATATTTAATATTGTCGGGCTGGGTTTATTTGAGAAAGCCCGAGCTTGACTTGAAAAATATTCAGGCCCAATTTTTAGAGCCCAAACCCACGGGTTTAAAATTTTGTCCAAGCTCGACTTATTAGGACAGGCCAGTGCATAGGATTACCTGGCCCATGAACAAATCTAGTAGACATCTTCCACTTTTCAATATTTGGATTTGTTTGGTTTGCCAATAAGGATCAAAATGGACTATTTCCAATTCAAACTATTTGATTGGGCAGGAGAGGAACCCCATTCTCATTGCCAATAGAATGGCATTCCCCCATATGAGGGAATGGCCATTCCCTCCCCTTCCCCTAGGAATGAGAATCCATTCCAGCCAATTCTGGTTCTGATTCCAATCTGAGCTAAACAGGTCAAGGGAATAGACCATTCCAATTCTGATTTCCGGCTGTCAACCAAAATGAATCCTTACTACTCCTGAAAGATTTTGGTTCCTTAGGCTCCATTTGAGAACAATGCAGATAGAGAGAACTGCATGTGCAATAAATATTATTTCTAAACCTTCTTTTTGTACTGTACATATTGCAATTGTACACTCTTCCCAAACAGAGCCTTATGGCATGTTTAATTGATGTGAAATGGAATCATTTCAATAATTTGCCGAAACCATGAAATGACCTCAACTTTGAGTCTACTCTTAGCAATTGGAAAATAATTGCTCCAATTCAGACTTGAGATGGTAATTTCTGTTATATATGAACCATGGTAAGAAGAAGGTACGTACTGCTACTATCAACAAACATTGTCTTCACTGTCGACGGGCAAAGTGAACAGATGGAAAAAGTTACTGATCATGTTGTACACACTCCCGTGTGGAGCCAACTCTACCTGTCTGGTGGGATGTTATGTGGCCGACTGGCCTGAATTGGTTGCTTTTGATGGGCCATCCTACAATAGAATAGAGAAAGGATGTGGCCACACTATACACTCTGGACTCTGGACTTAACTGGCTGGGTAGGCTGAGATAAATTGACTGGGTTTAACTAGACTCTCTATTTTGTAATCTAATTAAGTAATGCTAACTTGGGTATTAACAATAACAGTAACGTCCACTAAAAAAAGGCTCCGGTCAAGCCAAGATTGATCAAACACAATAAGTATAAGGCAGTCTTCTAATTAAGAAGACTAATCTCCAAGCTCTAACTTTAGGAGAGGCAACTTGAACTAAACCCCTTTTAACTGGTGATAGATCTCTGATTGAATATTGACAATGGAAATGTATGTTGGCAATTTCAATTCTGAGTTTGTTTGTTGATCTTTCAAATTAAATAATTAATTAATTCACCCCATTTGACTGAAGGAGGATTCATCATTTCTCCCCATCTCCCCCTTTCCGTTCTTTTTGTCTAAAGCCTAGTTAGAAAATTCCCGTATAACTTAACCTAAAGGTCATAATAGGATCAGAATTGGAAATCTAGGTTGAAATCTACAATCACAGCAAAATTATTAATATTTTTATGGCAGAGACTGGTTAGTTTCTAGTTGAAAACTTTTAAGTTTTGATGGGTAACTGAACTAAGCACAAACATAGATATAACGAGGCTTAATGATCGAATGGTAGCAGAAAATTAGCAAGCTACGTAGCATCTTTAATCTTTATAATCCATCTGCGACTGCGGCGTCGGTGAGAGGGCCCGTTAGGCTTAGCCATACGACAATGTATGTGGAAATGCAGAGCTAACAAAAGCTGCCCATATTGTATTTGCAGAAATGGAAACAATTGGTCAGGAGGGTTTGCTTCTCCGCCCAAATGACAAATCGATTGTACTTAGGTTAGGTGGACGTCTAAATATCAACGCCGTGCAGCTACTTTATTATCATATATATATGGTATAAGACGAGGAATTAATTTAGTGAGGTCCCCCATTAGCCAAACTCTGTCTGAGGTCTGCATCGTATCCATACAAACTCTAATCAAAGAATTCAAGTACCAAAATACAATAAGTAGGGAAAAATAAAACAAAATAAAATGAGAGAGAGAGAGAGAGAGAGAGATCTATTTCCACTGCAAAGAGTTTGCAAGAGCTCCACGAATACAAGTAATACACCATAAGATGTTCTTCCCTTTCTTGTTCAGTTTTTCTATATACAGCTCCAGAAGTTTATTCACCACAGGCACAGACAATTGAACCAAGTCCTAGAATAGTAGAATTAGAATGCTCTCAGTTTCTTAGGTTTTTATTCACGATGAATTAAATCTCATAAGAACAAAAAAAAAATTAATGCATATATGCATATATGCCTGCGGAAAACCCTATATTCCTAACCACACTTAAGGCCAATACTTTTGTCTTAAGACTTGGACCGGAGATAAAACCGGCCGGAATGCTCATCAGGTTATGGTTTTATCAGTTAGTTAACTGAACAAATAACCCATTCAAACCGTAAAAGCTATCATTTAATTTAATCAAGAGCAGAAAGGTCATTTCACCGGTTCAGCCGTCCGGCCCAATTAATCGGAGTCTCACAACACTGGCTAAGTAAGGCATGACCAGCTGCTTGTATTTCTTCACATAACACAAACCAACTTCATCGTCAGATCATAATTATCCATTATTTTGATGTGAACATATCCACCATGTGGGTTTCATGATATTTCCACGAATCTTGCTCAATCGCCATCACAAGTCATTTCACTGACCTCTTAATAATACAAATTTGATATTGACATATTGTGGATAGATATCAATTTTACAATAATATGACCTGTTATTAGATAAACTATTTTTTTAAATAATATTTATTTGCTGCTTGTCATAGAAATTATACTAGCGGAGTAACCCCTGCTGAGCACGGGAGAGTGATACGAATACCACGGGAGAATAAATTCCCATCCAGGACGAATTTCTGGACCCTAAAAAAACTTCCAACTGATCGTGGAAGAGAACCCGTAAGCTGGTTGTTTGAAAGATTTATCTGTTCAAATTCTCAGCAATTGATTCAGTCTACGGGAAGAAATCCGACCAAATTGTAATAAATGGCCAACGATGCTTCACCATAAAACTGATCCTACCTAATTCAGCCGGAATACTACGGGAGAAGAAATTCCCATCCAGGAGGAGCTTCTAGATGCCAGAAAAGTTTCCGATTGGCCATGGAAGAGAACCCGGAAGGTAGTTGTTTGAAAGGTTTATCTGTTTAAATTCTCAGCGATTGATTCATCAGTCTACGAGAAGCCTCAGAATAAATTGTAATAAACAACCAACGACGCTTCACAGAACCTTAATGGCGAGATTTGCGCCAATGATAACGGAAATTGTTCTGGAACAGTGGCGCCAAACTCAAATAATGAACAAATGAAAAAGAAAACGGCCATCAAATTGGACCAAAATCAAAATTGAGACTGAAAATGCATTAATGGCATCAGATTCAAGAATCCGTTTTAACGATTTACAGTCCAATTACATCAAATAACTTCTTCGGATCCTGGTTCGGTGGTTCCTATTCCTGTGTAGGTATTTTAGTTCTGTTTTTGTTTCTTTGTTTCTTTTTCTTTATCTTGCCTTTTTCAATTCTCACAAAGCAGAAGAACCGCTATTGCAGGCAAATCGCCAATGAAATCGGAATCTTCCAACCCATTAATGGACTCCTCGATCAAGCATGCTGCAATGACAATTCCATCGTGTCTCAGCAAATCAGCCCTCTCGGCCGTCACTACACGAGTCCCGACGAAGTTGCCAAAGTACGTGGCCGGAACCGGAGGCTTCTGTCGAGCCCCACAGTCCACGTTGAACGAAAGGGAAACCCTTTGATCCCCGGACTTAACCAAGGATATACCCAGATATAAGCGCACAGCAACGTGAAGGTCGACAGGCCGGGCTGGTGGTAGCTGTTTGTCCTTGTGCAAAGCCATGGCGCCTGCCTTCAGTGTTGCAATATTGGCCCGACTCAGTTCAAACGTGGCTCTGACTGTATTGTCCGGCTGCCCAAAGTCCAAAACGTCTAATCTATGGTTTCTGGTGGACTAGCAGTAGTGCTCTGTCAACTGGTTCAGATACATCTCCTCTAAGCCTTTTGGGTCCTTGATCACTGTTTTGTCATAGCATGGAAGAGCTTCGTTTGACAAAGATATCTCACCCAGCCTACCCTGCAAGCCGAAGGCCATGCGTTGATGAAGTTCATGTTGGGGAAGATAGGGTTACTGTAACTTCGGAGGAGAAGTTCTGAGGCGCGTCTGAAGACACTGTCTTTAGAACTTTATTTGCCCCCACTCAGTTTTATTGAGTTTGTTGTTGGGTTACACGCAAATTCGTTCCCAGGATACAACAGAGCATTTGGGCGAGAATCTGCAACCAGCAAAGTTGAAGAGTCTCCAAAGAAACCTTCTGTGAGACTGTAGCAGACTGGACTAGAGAGAGAGAGAGTGAATTTCGAAATTGTGTGTTTTTGGAGTCTGATTCATGCTCCTTAAATAATTTGTGAAGAGGTATGAGGAAAAGGTGGGTGCTGGTTTAGAAAAGGCACCTTGAACAGTCACAATTTCAAACATTGTGAATGTTTAAAAAGTAGTTAATAGTTGGTGACTGTTAACTTTGAATTATGCCTCTTGATCACACCCAATCGAATCGTGACTGTTAACTTTGAATTGTGCCTCTCTACTAATTCTAAGGAGTGTAAATCAGCTCCTATTGAAATACTGAAAACAAACATTATAATTATCCAATGTGGGACAAGTTCAAAACCGGGTTTTGTAAGAAAAAAATTGATTTTTAAATCAAGTGTGTAGGTGTAATTTCTCATGTAATTGACCAATCAAACCGATTGGATTTAATCTCTTATGAGATTAAAATCCAACAATCCCCCACATTGATTGATCAATTACATAGTTCTCTCTCAATCCAAACTACTATGACATAGTTATGCATACAAAAAGTGTTTATCAACTTAAACCTCTTGTTAGTATAGTTATCTTAGAGCCTTGTCAAAGTTATTGGTAGTAAGACCTTAAACCAATTACTCTCAAGACAGACCGGAGACACCTATACACACAAAAATGTCCAGTCTCTACAAGAGTTTCAAGTTTTGCTCAACACTGTTATGGCCATGTGCTTCTTTCCTGGTTTCATGAACAATCCCGAGAGTAAACCCAAACCCTCATGAGAAGCGGCACCACTTCTAATTTCACATAGGTGAAATTTCACTATGTGCTCCGTTATTTGACACATTTCAGAACTTCATTAAGAGTTTATCTCAACCTCTCATCATAACAGACATCACTGTTTATGTTGTGATGGGAAATTTCTCAACGTCAGTGCTAACAGTCACATTGCTGTAACTTGTTGTTACCCATTAAACCCAATACTGATGGTTTTCAGTTCAGGTTGGGTTACCAGTACATGTGACTAAGTAAAGGGTTTTAATTCCATCTCTTTGGTTGTCATTTTTACCAATTCTCTGGCCAAGCCCTTGGTAAGAGGATCAACCAAGTTTTTACTTGTCCTCACATAGATTATAGTGATGACTCCATCTTGAATCAGTTCCCTAACAAATTCATGTCTCAGACTTATATGTCTGGACTTACCATTGTAGGTACCACTGTAGGCCCTTGACAGAGTTGCCTCACTATCACAATAAATGGAAATTGGAGGCATAGGACTAAGCCAAAGTTTTATATCCAATAATAAATTCATAATCCATTCAGCCTCTTTTCCAGCAGCCGCTAAGGCTATGAATTCGGATTCCATGGTCGAGTGAGATATACAAGTTTGTCTCTTGGATGCCCAAGAGATTGCACCCCCACCAAGGACGAAAATCCATTCAGATGTGGACTTGTTATCTCTATTACCGGTAATCCAACTTGCATCAATGTACCCTTCTACTACAGCTGGATAATCATAGTAAAATAAGCTAAGTTCCAAGGTTCTCTTGAGATACCCAAGAACTCTCTCAATTGCCTTCCAGTGCTCTGCACCGGGGTTACTTGTAAACCGACTGAGTTTACTTACTGCAAATGTAATATCAGGTCTGGTACAAAGCATAGCATACATCAAGCTTCCTACTGCAGTAGCATACTCAAGTAGTGCAATTGCTCTACTAGTATTTTCTACTAGCTTTATACTAGAATCATATGGCATGTTATATTCTTTAAACCCTAAATGCTTAAATTTCTCAAGTACTTTCTCAATATAATGTGATCGACTTAATGCATAGCCCCTACTATGCTTTTTAACTTTTATTCCTAAGATGGTATCTACTTCTCCTAAATCTTTCATATTGAAGACAGAGGATAAATAGTTTTTAGTTTCATTTATGCCAACCATATTGGTACCCACAATAAGCATATCATCAACATAAAGACATACAATTACTCCATAATTTTCAGTGAATTTTGAGTAGATGCATCTATCAGCATTATTATGTTTAAAACCAAAAGTTATGATGCAATAATCAAATTTCTCATGCCACTGTTTAGGTGCTTGTTTTAATCCATATAGTGATTAAACCAGTTTACAGACTTTCTTCTCGTTTCCAAGAAGAACAAATCCTTCTGGCTATTCTATATAAACCTCTTCATTTAAATCACCATTTAATAAAGCGGTTTTAACATCCATTTGGTGAACAGATAAGTGATAAATGGATGCTAATGCTATGAGTGTTCTAATAGAAGTTGTTCTAGCCACTGGTGCATAGGTGTCAAAATAATCAATCCCTTCTTTTTGACTAAATCCTTTGGCTACCAATCTA